TGAATTACCAGTTCCTGTTCTTACTGTATTGAGAGTTGAATAATCCAGATTCTTCGTATATCTTCTTGTTGCATCATCCATGCGTGAAGTTGGTTGTCTTCATCTTGTTCATCCTTAGTGATCCACAGCAGACGTATGTCATTTGTATTGATCAAGTTCTTTAATATCTTTGATGACCATCACTTTGCCTGCTCCGGGGGACCATTTAGCTTTATCAGTACTTTGCAGTTTCTTGTCCAAGTGTCATGGATCTTCTTTTCTTTTCTCAGGATCCTTGCTTGCCTTGCGATTTCTGAGTTTCTTTTCGTAAGATGCTCATTTACATATACACTTGTACCCTTTAATTGTTTTGCATTCCTCAGCACCTCCATGTGACCTTTTCTACTGGCAAGACTGATCACAATGGTTGACATTTTACTATGTTTTTGAGCCAATGAGTGACAAGCCACAATGTCTTTACTGGAAATTGCAATATCTTTGCTGTTGAAAAATTTGATCACCTGATCATCAAGTGAAGGAGAACCTGGAGATTGAGTAGCAGTGATCTCACTGTCTTTTCCCTTGTCACAGGCTGCGGCCTGTGCATAGGTACGGTGTATCTCCAGCCCTGTTATCAAGAGATCATCCAACCTTGAATGTTGCTCCAACTCGCCAACCCTCCATTCACGCAGTTCAATTTTTTTGTCCTTTTCTTGTATTAAAGTTGCTTGACTTCTTTCAATACCTCCTGTAGGCCGCTCTGCTGTTTTGCTACTTTAGTTATCTCATGTGACATGAAATTCAAGGACTTTTTCATCTCTTCCATAGCTTGGACCAAATTCTCCATAGACATCTTTGTTCCAAACAATTTCCTTGGATGGTTAATAACTTTATGGTGTTGTCAGATTCCCAGCTGGTTGAAACATGTGCCGAAAAAATGTCCAAAATTTCATGTGCCGAAAAAATGTCCAAAACTTCATCTAGCTCAAAAATGGTTTAAGCCAAAGGTTTCTAATATCTTAAAGCCACAAAAAAGCAAGCATAGAAAAGGTGGATGTTATCTTATTTTGCTGATATTCATATATTAGTAGAGCTCAGCAATCTCACCTCACCACACTCGCGGGTTTGTTGTTGTTTGGTCACGTGGGTGCCTGCACCCATCAGATGGTGGTTTTGACAGACAGCGGTTTCATTTTATGTAGTCATGTTTAAGGAATTTGGCCTGAATCAAGTTTACGTTGTGGTACCCTGTAACAGTAAATGCATTCCTCCATAAGAAGCTCTCGGCAGGTCAAACAGATAAACTGGACCCATCCTCTGCCTCTATAGCAAATGTGGAATTTGCTACAAATGTCAAATGTATTACAGATTCAAGTGACTTTGAGCATGGCTGTCTGAGTATTTCAGAAAATGTAATCCACAGGAATTGTCATCCACAAATATTTAGGGAAAACTATATAGTGAGTAGTAGCTGTGGGAATTAAAATGACTTGCTGATGTCAAACCGGCAGTGTTGCAACACATTCTCACACCCTAAGTGTCGGAAACAAACGCTTGGTCAGCCACCCTCCACGTCAGACCCCAGACGCCAAAAGTGCCCTTTTTCGTTACTTATGTGCGAAAAGGGGTTTTTCCCTTTTGTAACTGCAGATCCCAATGCAGCGTTACACTGACGTGATGAGATATCCGCTGATGCGGCACCGAACCAGCTCGTTTAACCGCACCTAAACCTTAACGTTTCGCTATTTATAACCTTCCCCTCTCCCTCATCCTAACCTTAACCCTCTTGCTACCTAAAACGTTACTCTCACTGTGATCAAGCGTTTGTTTCCCATGCATTCAGACTCTGACAGTCAGAGTCTAACTGTGAATTTTTGTATTTGCCGCCCAAGGGGAACGTCAGAACATACCATCTGGCGAGGGGGAGGTTACACATACCCTCTACTTTTAACCTCCACTGTGGTAGTTGAACCCCCCACCCCACCCCCACCCCACCCCCCCACCCCCACCCCCACCCCCCTCTCGCGTTGGCTCGGTCCAAACTCGACCAATCACGACGCGGCTCCCGCCTTTCACTTCATAGAGACGGCTTTTAGAGCGATCGACACATCACTAACGTGTTCGCTAGCAAGATGGTTAAGGTTAGGATCGGGGTGAGGGGAAGGTTAAATAAGAGGACAAGGTTAAGGTGAGGTACAATGAGCTTGTTTGGTGCCCTGGCTGCAGACATCCCATCACGTCAGTTTTACGCTGCATTGGGATCTGCGGTCAAATAAGGGAAAAAACCCTTTTCGCACATAAGTAACGAAAAAGGGCACTTTTGGCGTCAGGGGTCTGACGTGGAGGGTGGCTGAGCGTTTGTTTTTGACGCGCTGGGAGTGAGAATGTGTTGCATTAGCACTAGTTCCAACCAGAATCGGTCTTTGTCAGATGACGTACCAGGTGCTGTAGCGCGTTACATGATGGGATGGCTAGGTGCATAAACAAAGGACGCGTTGGTTGCTTTGTGTTGCTGTGAACTTATAATCCTGCAGAAAATACACTCCTAATGTGTGAAGGGCTGCCATGCTCTCTTCACAAGAAGGCTAAAAGGTTAAATGTAGGCAGGGATTGCATTAACTGGATATTTTCCGTATTTGACCATTAATTTTGATGGAAAATCTCAAGGCTGTTGGTCATTCTGACAGACTGGAATTGACCCTACGCAGGCAGGTGTGCAGACATTTTAAACGTTACGCACAGAAAACATCACAGAGGTAACAAAGACGATCAAGAAAAGATTCCCATCAGAACATCTGAGCATATCTCAGACTTGGACACCGTGATCAACGCAGCTCGCCATCAGCGTGTTGAGGAGCTGTGGAGAGCAGCTCGGCGCGCGTCTGTGGGGTCAGCAGCAGAACCAGGACGCTGCAGTTGAAATGTTCCAGCTTGTTTAGACTAAATATTAATGGGAAATGAATGAGGATTAAACTGTGAATTTTTATTTAATACTATTTGAGAAATGAAACTGACGTGAGGAAATGATCCGACCATTTTTTTTAACTGTCAGTCAAAATGAAAACAAACATGTCTAGCGACACCAGGGTGTGAATGTGTGTGAATGGGTGAATGACTGGTTGTGTTGTAAAGCACCTTGGGGGGTTACAGGACTCTAGAAGGCGCTATATAAAATACAGGCCATACCATTTTAGCGCGACCTCTGCATGTGGGTAATGTTTCTGCATCTGGCTGCTTGTAACTTATGTTGATAATAATTTGTTTAATTAAGGCCCATTCAGAAACTAAAACCTGGTGCAGCACCAGTCTTAATGGAGTAATGTTTTTGGATGGCTACTTTTTACTTTTACTTGATTATAAATATGTTGAAGTAGTGCTGAGTTTACTCAAGTGATGTGTTTTCGGCAGTAATAAAACGTCTTGAGTTCCATTTGTTTTCTTTGAGGTCGTATATTGTCGATTGTAAACGGTTTCTGAAACTACTGATCCCTATCCTCCTTCACAAGTTTGTCCCTAGGGACGCGTTCGTCGTTGTTCTTTTTAACCATCCTTTTGACTGTTGTGCACTGCTTCAACTTCAGCTGCAGCTTACCTTAGCAACGCGAGTCACACACCCACAGTGGCGCTAAGAGGGTGTGGTTGACATGCAGGTCACGTGTCACCGAGAGCATCTCTGAACCACAAAACATATTGGGGGAGAGAGGTCAATTACCTGTATTTATATAGTGCCTTATAGAGTCCTAAAAAAAACCCCAAGCCACTTTACAACACAACATCTATGCACACACACACACACACACACACACACACACACACACACACACACACACACACACACACACACACACACACACAGTGATGAGCTTACAATGAAGCCACAGCTGTCCTTGGACTCACTGACAGCGGTGAGGAAGGAAATAGATACGTGGAGATCCTGGGGGGCGATGGGGGAGTCATGACCCCCCTTGCATAAAGATTTCACCTCCCAAAAATGATTGAACGTATAAATTGTGACACCAATACAGTAGGTCTGATTTTCTTCTTGTGTTGCTGCTGATTACAGCTGGTCACTTAGTGCAGACTACATCAAACAAAAGATGTCAGAGTTCCCAGTGGTATAGATCGAATGGCAGCCACTTCTGTCTGTGTGCCTCAAAGCAGCTATGTGGCTAAAACATGAATGGGTGAATGACTGTTGTGTAAAGTGCTTTGGAGTCCTTGGACTTGATAAATTGCTACACAAGTGCGGGCTATTTACAGCAAAGGAAGGTACCACTCATGTTAACGAAGAACAGGAAACTGAGGTTACAGTTCACCTAAAGTCACCAAAATTGGACCAAAACAATTAAGAAAAAATGTTTCCTGGTCTGATTTCAGCTGCAGCAATCAGATCATCAGGTCAGAGTTTGGTGTCAACATTAAAGGATGGATTCTTTTTGCATTTTGGTCCACTTTGAACATTTAACACAACAACTGAGCATATTGTAACTGGTCATGTCCATCATTCTATGGCTACAAGCAGCAGGATAATGCTACATGTCACAAAGCTCAGATCATCTTTGATTTCTTGAACATGATGACTTAACTGGACTCCAACTGCCTCGATCGTCACCAGATCTCAATCTGATCAAACATGTTAGACATGTGTGAAAATAGGGGTTGCACATCATGGATGTGCAGCCGACAAATCTGCAGCTCCTGTGTGATGCTGTCATGTCTATACGAACCAAAAACCCATTGATGTAACTATGCTATGAATGATTTAGGAGACACTGGAGTCTATAAGGGAACCAAACCAGTGTCAACAAGGTGTACCTAATAAAAAGGACAATGAGAGTATTTCTGTGTTGTCTCTGGAAATGTAATTGTACAAAAGCACCATGGCTTTAAATGGCTTTATGTGTGTGTGTGTGTGTGTGTGTGTATATATATATATATATATATATATATATATAATAATAGGCAATTTGGTAAATGGATTCCTTCAACCATAATAAATAGAAATGGCAAATGTTAGCGTTGCTGGTGTTGTGGTTTAAAGATGAGCCACGGACAAACGAGCGTTTTGAATGTTTTCCGGGTCGACGCGCCGTTGCCATGTTTGAACGGGCCCATGCTTGGTTGGACTGTGGGTTTGAGGAAGCTCGTCCGCCCGGTAGTCGGAGCGGAGGAGGGGGACTCGCCAGCCAGAGCTTCGGGCTGTGAGCGCGCCGCTGACGGGCACCGACTACATCTCCTCCACGGCAGCTTCGGTCAGCGCCGCAAGGCGCACACGCTCGTCCCAGAGGTTGTTTCGTGACACATCCAGGTGGGTCAAACTTGTGAGTCGTCTTGTCTTTTTGTGGAAATGTGGACGGAAAGATCCGAGTGGAAGACCGAGCGCGATACAAAGGCTTTCTTCGCCGGAGAAAATGCCGGGCTGCAGCAGCCGGGAGGCCCGCTTGTGTCTTTCAAGTCGCCGCTTATTTCCCTTCACGTCTCGGTCGCTTTGCTAAATCCCACGTGTCTGTTTATTCCATTAAAGCGTTAATGACTCGTAATTTGGTTTATCGGCGTTTTCGGTCGAGCAACCGCCAGTTTTGACAACCGTGGCCGGTACGAGGAAACATGGTTGCTCTGCGGAGTCTCCTACGGATGCATGCCGGGCATCTGTGCTGTCCGTGCCGCTAGAGGGTTACGGGGGCAGCCGGTGTTTCTGGTTGCGAACAGGGAAGCGCCCGGGAGGAAAACACGCACCGCGACACGTTGTGTATGTAATAAAGACATGTCTACTCTCTAATGCCTGGGTGTCTTGAGAAACTTTTTGGGTATTTTTAGACAAAGTTGCCATCACGCTACTATGTGACGTTTGTTTAATGTGGTTCTCGCGGCGTCCCTGTGCTGCCTGACCATCCCTGGTTTCGCTCTTTCTGCTGACTGACTGGCTGGTTTTAGCAGGTTATCACCAGGAACGAGTTCAGTCCTTCTCCCCGAAGGTGGATTAGAGACGGGACGGGCAGGTTAGCAGAGAGCCTCCTCCACGGGACACATGACAACATGCCTCTGTCGGTTCTGTAATGCACAGCACCGTTCATGTCAGTATGTTCAGAAATATTATTTTATCACACATTTTATCAATTTAAAAGACAGCTGTATGTATTAAAATCACCGGTCCTGTTATCGGTATTAACATTTGTTAAAACTGACTAAATTGATAATTACCATGTGAGCCAAACAAGGTTCAATACTTTCAAGGGCGCCTCCAGAAAATGTTGATGGGGTGGCCAGAAGGGGCCAAAGAAGGAGGAGGAAGGCGGGGGTGTGGGGGGGGGGGGGGGGTACACGAAATTGGTCCTTGTGGTTACTCTGGGAGAGTTTAGCCTGTGGCAATGTATTGCATTGCTCCTTCCTTTTTATTAAAGAAACAGTACATATCCAAAGCATTTTACTAACATTTTACAAACACAAAAATTTCAGAAAAATTCATTTCAGTTATTTAAAATATTATTTGAAAATTTATCTTAACATGTATTTTTTTGTTTAATTCACCTGTTGCTGTGTTCACAAAAACTATGGAGATAAAAACTTTTTAAAAATGGTGAGCAGCAGAAACATGTTTTTTTAATGCTGATTATTTCTTTACTCATTAATTGTATTATTTTCATTTGTTTACCATTTATGTCTTGAATAAATCAATTTATGGTTTGAATGAACTTTAATATGATTTACTAACACTGGCTTTTGCTGGGGGGCATCAATTTTGTAGATATGACCATAGCCACCCCTTGGGGGCGCCATTGACTACATTATTAGTCACAATAAGATACAACCAGTAGTGTAAATTGTGATAGTGACACGGTTTTGTGGTGTTGAAGTAATTTAACAAAATTAAAGCCCCCTTTTTAGGGATGGATACCTTTCACATTTGAATCAATTCTGTACCTATTCCCGGTACCTACAAATCAATACCGGTACTTAACGGTACAATTTTTTTAATACTTTTGAATGTTTAATAATTAATTAATTCTCTTTTTTTAAAATGAATATTTTTCTTGGTGTATAACCATATTTGATAAATATAACCATAAATAACATACAAAGTGTATTTTATCATCGTAGTGTTGTACAAAATTCTTCAATATGAAAACTTTTAACCACAACTGTTTCTATAATGATGCAGCTCCTCCTATTCCTCTTCTATGCCCTCTGGAATAACTATTAGGAGAAGACCATGTATTTTAAACTAAAACACACTTGTATACCATACAATATTGTGGTGTTTCACAAACTAAAACCCAGCTTCATGTACTTTGTTTCTTTTCCTTTCACCTCTGGACAAATGGTGTGATGGGTGGGTCCTTGTAGTTTTATAAACTGCAAATTAAACTGAAGCAAACATCTCTGCTGTGAACTAAATTTACTGTGTATCTTCATTCCTTTTGCCGTTAATTTTCAAACAGTTGATTTTTCCTACTCGGAAGTCGGATTTTCCGAGTACTGAGAAGAAAGTTAACACACCATTAGCTGCTAGCAACGGAAGCTAAACTATCAAGGTAACATTATCTTAAACAGTTTATTTACCTGCTGGAGCAGATTAAGATGATGATAACTCACTTAGAACGTTGTCGATATCAGCACCACCCCAGTCACCCATTGCATTTAGTGAAGCGAAGCCTAATTTTAGAGGTTTTCTCTTTGCCTACTCAGAAATGAGTTTTTGAGTACTGAGGAGAGAGCGAACACACCAATGCTGCTCATTTTTAAACAGTTGATTTTTCCTACTCGGAAGTTGGATTTTCCGAGTACTGAGAAGAAAGCGAACGCACCAGTAGCTGCTAGCAACAGAAGCTAAAGTATCAAGCTAACGTTATCAGTTTATTTACCTACTCTGATGCAGATTAAGACGATGATAGCTCACTTAGAACGTTGTCAATCCATCGCATTTAGTGAAGTAGACCCAAACTTTAGTGCGTGGTCCTTCTACCATGCTGCTTGCGCTGTTTACATCTCGCCCGCAGCTACTGATGACATAACGCTCTTGTGCTGCTGTCTATCTTGGGAAATTAAGTACCAAATGCTAGTGTGTAAGTGGCAAAATGTACCTAAACAAGGCACCATTTCATATCAAGTGAATCGGTTCATGGTCGGTACCACGGAATTCGGTCGCTGCCTTAAAAAGTACAGAATACCGTACCCATCCCTACACCTTTTAAAATCTCACCACCTGACCGGTACAGTTGCATTCAATCCCTTGCAGCAAAAGCACATGTTCTTCAAAAGGGGCAACATGATCCCACATGAAGAACATGTGTCAACTAAGGATGTGAATCTCCACCTCTGAGGTCGATTTGATTCGCATATCGATACGCTACCAGCGATAAGAGTCATTAACGATACAGAGAAATCCTCTGCCAATTTGAAAACAATTTTTGGTTTGATACAATTCATGATGCACATGCTTCAGCCAGATGTATTTGGCTGATAGTATTTTTTTCTTCATATTATAGTTTTCCAAGATATTTTCATGTGGAGATGCCTTGTTTTTCTTTGTCATTAAAACTTTAAGATTTCAGTTTTGTTTGCGTGGTTTGCTAGCAGTCTAGTTACGTGTCACTACATGCTATGAGGACAGCAGATCCTCACTATGCAGGGCAAATTCCTACTTTCTCCAAAGTTGCTAAAAAATAACTAAAATATCTCAAACAGTAAACCTCAGATACGACATTTTAAAAGACAGGACATGACGTTGAAAAGTTAGATGTATAATATGTGCATGGTATGTAAAAGTCAGGTCAGTAAGGGAGTTAAAACCGATTATTTTCTGATGTTATATTTTAATGCCAATATTGGAGAAAATACTAGAAAAATACTGCAGAATTATACCAACAAACTGTTATTGTGCATCATGACACAAGCTTGCTAGAGTTGAGCAGAAATGATATAACTAGAGCAAGATTGGATAATTACGATTTTTTGTCCTGGTGTAAAGAATAATTCTGATCCCGATTCTCGGATATAGCGAGCCTAACCCCAACACACCCTGGAAGCATCAGTGGTGCGGAACATCAGCGGAATGGTTTACTCGCGAGTCGCGACAGCCATTGACCTCCAGTGCACACTCGGAGAGTCGGCAGCAAAGCAGCTTCTCTACCGTGCTCCTTCCACGACTCGCGAGATCACAAAATCACTCGAGACTTCCACCAACCTCCTTGCAAGATAAAAAATTGAGACTTCAAAGGTTACGGTTTGTTTATGCAATCCATTATTAAACCAAAAGGAAGGAAATCAGGTTATCACTGTTTGATGTCATATATGATTTAGTAGGGCTGTCGCGGTAACCGCAAAAATGAAATATCGCAATATGAAGAAGCCCACCGCGCTGCATCATGGGCCACCGCGATTACTGAACTTGGTTCAACCCAATGATGCATGTTGAGAAGGATGGCTGCACTGGTATCAAAACGAAACGTTACTTCGCTCCTTTGGGAGCACTTTGGTTTTCAGTACGTCAGCTGCTGCGCAGCCAGAGTCCTTGGCCGAGACAGAGCTGCAGCGGCAAAAATAAATAAATAAATAAACGCTCGGAGACCTGCTGAAGTCCCGGACAAGCACTGCTTCTACAGCCGTCCCGAAGAGAGTTTGAGCCGAGCTGGAGCTCACTCGCTACCTGCAGGAGGAATGCATCCACCCTAAAGAAACCCCCCTGACATGGTGGAGCAACAACCGGGAGAGATTCTGTTTACTCGCACGCAAGTACGTGTGCGTTAGTGCAACGAGCGCACCATCCGAGAGGGTTTTCAGTGTTGCTGGAAATGTTGCCACCCCTCTCAGATCCTCTCTCAAACCGTATATAGTTATCATGCTGGTTTTCCTTGTAGGTAACAAGGACGTGACCGAGCTATAAATCACCGTCATTCGTGTGTGTGAAAGTGAAATGATAGTGCGCCCGCCCCCCGGCGCGCCCGGTACATGTAATTTTTTATGCTTGATTTTAAACAACTAAACAAAATGGGGACTTGTTTCTTATTTGTTAGATGCTGCAGCCAAATTTGCATTTAAAAGTTTAACCTCCTGAATTTTGTTGTTTTTAAGTTCAGTCGGACTCCGACTGTCGGAGAAACAAACGTTACTGCGATCTGTGTTGTTACTGCCCTTTGATCTGCATTCAGTAAAGTGTTATAAAAGAAGGCACGGCAATTTTTAACGTTTTTTAAATGTGTAAACATTATGTTTAGATAGTACTGCAATAAAAAAGGGCTGCAATAATATCGCACACCGCAATATTAAGCCACCCTGAATCACCGCAGGGGGAATTCCTCAACCGCGACAGCCCTATGATTTAGTTTCTTTCCACTGCCAGGATTAATGCCATGAAAAACACACCACTGCACTTCTGGAACGATGCTGTGAGTAAATAAGCCGTTAGGTCACAGCAAGCTTCATATATATGAAATTGCATTGCTGCAATACTTTTATTTTGAAAATTAACGGGGATTTTACACTGAACCCGTGTGTGATTTCCTGTCTAGCCCTACGTAACCCACGGTAATTGATGCATCCCAGAAGCGGCTCGTGGAAAAACTAGAACCCGATGTGACTGTGTGTGTGATTGGGTGGATGAGTGATCGTGTTGTGAAGCGCCTTTGGGGTCGTAGAACCCTAAGAATACGCTATAAAAACAGGCCATTTTACCATTTTTTCACTGTAAATTATTTGTCTCCTGTTTTGAAGTAAAAGGTAAACTGCATTGCTCCCTCATTTCTCATTAATCAGGTTTTGTAGCAGTACTGATACATACACCATATCTCTTTGAAATAAAGTCAACAATATTTTAGTTATATAATTGATGTTTGTTACAACTCATATCTGAATAGTTTTGCTGATCACACTTCCTTGCAGTGGGTCTTCAAATCAGCATTTTTTGACTTATCTGTTACAATTTCTCTTTTTTTCTTCTCCCAGATTGAACCATGTGATTACCTTTGGAGGCAGCTGCTCTCCAAAGCTTGACGAACCCTCCAACTTTCACTAGAATGTACTTGATGAATGTACCTCCTGTCGCAGCGACGCAAACAGAATGGAGAAGATGTGGCCCAGCTGGAGGCTATAGCCTTCCAGCTTGCTTCAATGAATCTGACTCAGAGTTGTCCACCAGAGACACACCTATATCAAACAAGGTCCAGATGATCATTGAGAGCCTGAGGAGCACCCAGTCCTCAATCGAGATGGGCGACGAGATTGAGGAGAGCATCTCTTCAGGACAGGAAGGCCATACTCAAGCATGCAGGGTTCCTGTGGGTTCCGATGTGGGAGCCAAGTCCAAAACTAAAAGCCCCATTGAAAACCCACAGACTCATTTTCCTTCCATAAACAACCATGTGAACAGTGATACCGACAGTGACGATTCTGTGGACAGGGGGATAGAGGAGGCGATACTGGAGTACCTAAAAGAAAAAGATGGTCACAAACGCAAGGCAGAACCATGCTCACATTTCCTTCAGTCTTCAAAAATTCCAAGAAAAAATTCACCGCTTCTTGAGGTTTCCAAACAAAACTCTGATGGCAACACTTCCTTGATTTCCATCAGCCAGCTCCAAAGAAGTGTCAACGCTGAGCCCTCAACAGCGCAAGCAGGAATTCCTTTAAAAAAGTATATAAAAAACAAAGCATCCCTAGATGACAACTTCGATTTGAGTCGAGGATCGTGCAGTGTAGTTATCTCAAAGGAGCAAAAAAATGACTCATCTGAAATGATGAGCATTTTCCCCCAAACTATGAAGTTCCCAGTCACAGTTAAGGTGGAAGAAGAATTGGATGATTCCAGCAGTGATGACGGAATCGAGGAGGCCATCCAAAGATACCAGTTAGAACAAAAGGAGCTGCAGAGCAAAAAGGAACCTTTCAGTCTGAGCTCGTTCCAAGATGAGTCTGACTCCACTAGTGATGATGGCATTGAAGAAGCTATCCGCTCCTACCAGCTTGAGCAGCTCAGAGAGAAGAGTGGCCTTAAATCATTCCTACACAAGCAAAAGCCCTGTAGCAATAATGCGTTAATGCAAGCTGTTGGGAGTGCAAGCTCAGAAAATATGAAAAAGCACAAACTGAAGAAAAAGAAGAGCAAATCAGAGAATCAGTTGAAAATATCCCAAAGTCCTCCATCATCTGATTTGAAACCTAAATCTTCACTTTTAAATATCCCAAAAGACAAAGGAAATGGCCTACTTTCTTTTAAAGTAGAACATTTTAGGGAGCAACCAACCCCTGCGCCACCCAAAGTTAATACAACTGCTGAACTAATGTGTGCTGAAGCAATACTGGACATTTCCAAAACCGTCATGCCTGGACCCTTCCATCAGGAGATTGGCTTCGGCGCCTGTGTCCCAACTGGGGCTGCCACACAGCCTTCTCTTCCTGACGGCAAAGAAAGCAATGACAGCTCTGTTGACAGCGAGGATGGGATTGAACAAGAAATTAGGAAATTCCTTGCACAGAAAGCCCAAATGCACAAACAGCTGCCGAATACTCAAGAACCCGGTGATGCGAAAGAATCGGAGAAAGTGAACGCAAAAGAATTTGCTGTCCAAAAGAAAACACAGAGGTTGTCTTTAACGCAGAGAAGAAAACAAAGGGAGAACCACCTTCTTGTTTCCAGTGTGCTGGGAACAGACAACAGGGGCAAAGACACAGTCTCCAAGTCTCACTTTGAACTGGCTAAGGAATCAAACTTGTCTGCGTTTTCTCAGAGAGGTCAAACACAACCAGACACGGCATTACACAGGACTGAGCAAAGCGGAGAAAAAAGCAGCTCGCTCGACAGCGACGAAGATCTCGATACTGCCATAAAAGATCTGCTCAAGACAAAAAAGAAGTCAAAGAAAAAGGTCAGAGACGTGAAAAAGAAATTCAGCAAGTGCATTAAGGCGGAAGAACCGATGTCAGGAATTTCTCTTTCCACCAAAATGTTGAAATCCGGGCCTGTTTACAAGTTTTGCGCTTTGAAAAAAGTAAGCAAATCTAAAGACGGCGTAAAGGATGAGTGCAGGTTATTGAAAATGAACGTGTCACAGCTAAAGCAAATAGCTAAAAATACGAAGCAACCAGCAGACATCGTGGCAGAGGCAGAATTTGGAGATGCACAGTCCCTGCACGCCTCTGACACCCTGCCTCAAATAAAGGACGACAGCAGCTCTGTAGACAGCGACGACAGCATTGAGCTGGAGATTAGAAAGTTCCTGGCTGAGAAGGCTAAAGTTTTGAATGCAGAGCAAAGAAAAGATGAAGATGTATGTAGAAATGGGACAGTCATGGTTCAACAGGCTGACCTAAAACAGGAAACTCAGCTGGCTGAGTGTCCAAGAATGATTGGCCTTCCATCTGCATCCCTAAGCCGTTCAGCTGAAGATCAGATTTCCCAGAGGCAGCCACCGGAGGTCTCCTCAATCACTCCACCATCACACACGTCCTCTGTCCAGTCCTGCAGTTCTAGTCTTCAGGAACCAGCAGACGGAGCAGGGGCAACTAAAAACCAGCAAAAGAGGCCTGACGATGAAGCCACTTCACAAATGGACAGGAGTCGGCCAGTTTCGAGTCCAACCACTGCTCAGTCTCAGTCAATCAAGTGGCGCCAGAGTTTGGGGCTTCCCATTTCTGACCAAAGGGCTCCTACTCGGACTTTGTTTCATATCACCTCATCAGAAAACAAAGAGACCGCCTCTGCCACTCTTTCCTATCCAAACAGGGACCTCAAATTACAGACACCTGCCTCCACTTGGTTCTCATCGAGGACCGGCAGAGTTCCATTTTCATTCTCCTCCGAGACTGCCGTAAATGCCACAGTCAGACCCCCCGTTTTGAAGTTCTTCTCTGCTGCCAGGCAGCAGTCACAGATGACTTTTGCACAGAGCCTTACACCAAGTCACAGGTCCCCCTTCCCCTTAGAGGAGGAAAAAGCCAGCATGGTGCACGTGCCGAAGGACAAGAGTGTATTTGTTGAACTGGAGTCTAATAGGACCAACCATGTCCAGGTTCAAAGCAGGGACAGGGGTGAGGGAAAGGAGAGGGCGGACTCGCTAAATGAGAGAAAAGCAGAAGGCAAGAGTTCAAAGATAGATAATGAAGAAGTGCATCAAGACAGGAAGGATGAAGAATTTATAGACGAGTCAGATTGTGAATCAGACAGCAGGAGAGATCCAGGAAAGAAGCAGGGCTTTGCCGCGTTGTAAGTATTTGCTTTGATCATTATTCATCCACAGCACCATATTTCTGTTAGTAGTGTCTTAATTCTGCCCTTCTAATTAAGAAAATCCTGTCTGCTTGTGGTTTTGCTCAGTCGTGTACAGGCTCCAACGGAACACTTATAATAAATCATGCACTTCAAAATAAAAGACATTTGTACAGTTTAGCAGATCTGTAACAGAATGGCTGCATCGGGATTTCTGTTTTACTAGTCGTGCCCTTTAGGTAAGTCACATGACTGATATTTTTGAAAAGCAATACGGTGACATTTTCCTACAAGAGGAATTAGTTGTGATCATGGAGTCGCACGATTATTTCCAATGGAAGGTGTAATTTTATAGGATGTGATCATGACGGGTTTGAGATTAAAAAAAAAAGAAAAGCTATAAAACTTCCCTGTTCCAAATGTTCAAAAGTTGTAATTAAATCTTCTTGAAGACAAAGAATGTTTTTATATAACGGCTAGTTTCATTTATTTGTGGTTCCACTGAGGTATACGGACAATTTGTGTTGTTAAATTGTTAAATAAAAACAAAATAACAGAAATAAAATAGTTTTTGTCAGCATTTCATTATTTAACCCAGGGTATCCGCGGGTCCTTAAAAAGTCTTAAAAAGTCTTAAATTTGCTTTTCCAAATTTAAGGCCTTGAAAATCCTTAAAATTGACAAATAATCCTTAAATCCAGTTTCCAAAGGTCTTAAATTACCAAAGACCCAATAAACAAGATTATTTTATTTCTATAAAACTTTTCGTGAATTTCTAGTTAGTGTTCAGCATTTTTTGTGTATGATGTTGGCGTAGGCGGAACCGTACACATTCAGTTGGTTGTGAAAGGGGGCTATTTTTAGATGAGCACATTAGCTGGTTAAGCTAGTGGGAGCTTGCGCCATGGGGAAGTGCAAGTTTAATGGTAACTGGATGGTTAATCCCATGTTCACGACGTGGTTAGCACCGGTTCCAGGCAATAGCTGGAAATTATAGCTTAAATTTAATTTTAAAAATTGCTTAAATTTGGTCAAAGTGGCCTTAAAAGGTCTTAAAAAGTCTTAAATTTGGCTCCCTTAAACCTGCAGATACCCTGTAACCATTACACTTCACCTGCATCCTCAACAGGATAGTCGACTGCTTGCTTTTCTGTTTCTTTGACTTTTTAAAAACAGAAATCAATATTTGATTTTAAGAATGACATGTATTAACTGATCAATCATCAAAGCAGAAGAAGACTGACAATGCGTGTTAGTTATGGCTAGAAAAGCACCAAAAGGTCAGCTGAGGATCAGTATTGACCAGTTTTTAGCTGTTTTCTAGGCGTTCGGCTGACCTGAAACTCAAAAATCTAACATCTTTTGCCAAGTTGTGAGCTCACCATTGCTAATGACCATATCTTCCATTTAGACTTTTTAACTTTCAGAAACTTACACTATAGCCTTAACTGGTATCAGCCTCCAAAACCAGAAGCATCTGCAGTCTCAGCCCTAAACGTCATAAATAGCTGCGCAGGAAGAGTTTACTAAATGTGTTTCTAACCAATCAGAGTTCAGTACTAACAAAACATAATCAGAAATAACCCCTAAATAAAGTTTAGGGTAATGAAGTACATCAGTGGTCTTCCAGTCACTGGATTCCATCTTTAAATCAGCCCTCCACATAGTTTGTGTGTTGTTGTTTTTTTCATCTACAAGTGCTATCTCCCATCTGAGATCTGTTTTCGAGCATGTTGGTCTTGAAATAATCAAAGTCCCTCGTGTGAATTTTGGTCATTAAAGGACATTTCCAGCTTTTTTATGCCACTTTTAATGTCTCAGACCTATGATGAAAGTGTTTGGGATTCCCCCTGAAACCTCCTACTCTGTCTTTCTTAAAATGCTAATTAGCACGTTCATTTTTTATTTTCTTTGTGGCAAAAGGCTATTTATTTTGTTTAGTAGAAAAATAAAAAAGAATCATCACTGAACATGCTGTGCATTGCCGGGTTCTTTTGTAAATATTTTTTTAAAGACTTTGCTTTTCCTTTGTTCTTTAATATAAATGAAAAGCAAAGTTTGCTGCATTATAAGTGTGAAATAAAGCGTGGAGTCTAAGCAACAGTGAGTCTCTTGTAATATTTTGAAAATATTCTAATTTACTGGAGACGTGGCTTTAAAAGTGGATTTTGGAATTCGGAGCCTTGAAAGAGTGATCTGATGGACGTTCTGCTCTGATTCACCCAGGTCTTTGTCCAGAACTATAGACCCTGGCATCACCATCAGCCCAATCATAGCTCTTACTTCGGAGGAGAGAGGCAGGATGTTCAGCAGGAGGTACCTGGCTAACAAATTAAGAAAGGTAGTTATTTAAAGACAAGACTTTTGTAATGATAATTGTCTGAATCCAGAGTAAGATGTGTGTCACATAACTGTGCTTGCAGGAAAAAGCTTTTCTTGTTAGTGTTTCTCAGCATTGCGGGAGTTTGCAACACGTCAAAAGAAAGCTTCAGTTTGTTCCAGTGAGCAGGTGAAAGAGTGCACAGGGTTTTTGTCCCCACGGTGAACAATTAGAATCACAGAAAACCACCTTCACCTTAGTTTTCCTCTCGTTTCAGGAAGAAGGCCACTACCAGTGCAACATAGCTGCATCAAACAAATGTGTTCTGGGATGTTCTCAGTTGTTTAAATTGTTGCATTCAGAAGATTTAAAAATGCTTTACATTTTACTGGTTTTGTATAAGCTTTTGGGATTAAATTGTAATTTCTGATTTTGTTCAACAATTGTACTTTGTAATTCAAAAAATCGTTTAGTGAAAAAATATGTTTTAGGTTCATGAATCTGAACTGTTTTGTATTTTTATGCCAGTTTGGGGATTTGTTTTATTACCCTTTTTTATTTCTTATATTTGCCATGCATCACAAGCTACATTTTAATGCAACCTTTTATTTGAAATGTTCTAAATTTTGTTTCGTTTGTACCTTTTGTAGCTGGTTTGGGCCAATGTTGCGTTTTCTTCTTTCAATAAAGTTGTTGAGAAAAAAGGTTGCAAAATCTTCACGACACCGTTTTCATTTACGGTACACCTTACTACTCATGCGCATGCGCACTTGGCTGACCTTACGTGGCGCAGTAGCATGGCGTTTCGGGCACTTACTAAAGGTATGTGATTAAAATTGGGACTTAGTTGTTTGTGTAACAGTTGTTAATTTTCTGTCTAACACAAATTTTTTGGGATACTTGTCATTTTACTTGTTCGGGTTTCCTTTAAACGCTAATCTCACGAATAAGTTCCCCAGTGCAGCTAATGCTACATGCTAATGTTTAGTAGGACTTGATAGCGGTCGTGATTTGTTTTTATTTCATATTCAGGTCTTTTTGGGTTGCGACATTCACGAGGCGTCAGAGTAAAATACTCTTGTGATGGACACTTTGCCACTGCAGCGTCCATTCAGTCCCCTCAACCCCAAACCGATGATGTAAAGGGTGAGTCCCTGATGGCTAACGTTAGGCTTCTTTAGCTAGTGTTGTGATTTAAACTTCTTTTCTTTTTTATCTTACAGAGAAAATCTTGCAGCTGCCACTAAAGAGCCCAGACTATTTCCGGGTGTCTGAACTGTTTTCCTTAAAGGACTTGTTCAATGCTAGAGTTCATCTTGGTCACAAACAAGGTTGCAGACACAGGTTGGTGAGATTCTCACAGCTCAAAGAAAATGTTAGATTACCAATTCCCCCCGGCCCCGATCTGACACTGATGTAAAGTTTTATCATTTGTTCAAAAAAGCAACAACTGATTTCAATAAGCTGCAAGCATTTGGTTTCTTCGGTAGTTCAGGCACATTAATGTGATATTAGTTGCAGCTCCTTAGAATTAAATGTGTATATAAGTTAATGGAAGTCACACTGACGGGTTATTACTACAATATGACTGTTGATTAGCTTGTGAAAATGTAAACTCAAATCCAAAATTGTCATTTGCAGTCATCAGTAGTCAATTGTCCATAAAATAATTTTCCTTTGGAGTTGATATGGTCTGCACAACTTAAGAACTCATGTCTCTTGTTAATGAAAATTGCATTATTCCATCTAATTACATACGCTTTGAACATTGAAATGTTTATTATATGTGCAAGAACAGATTAAATTGGATTCAAGATTTTTATTTATTTATTTACATATATTTATGGAAGAGGAAACCCCCTAAGAAACTCATTTTCAGGGGGGTTCTCCATTAATCAATCAATCAATCAAAGCTTTATTTATAAAGCGCCTTCCGCAACCCTGTCAGGAAGCCCAAAGCGCTGAACATGGTTCAGTTGTAGGTAAATATATTGAATAAATCAACAATAAAAGCAATTCAAATTACAAAATACAAATTACAAAATAGATGAAACATTCTGGTACAGGATTTACACATTTAAAGAAAAGAAAACAGCAAGACGGCTCAAACGCCGTGCTATTTACTACGCGGAAATCAGCCGCTGTTATCGTGGATGAGTTCCTTTCCACCAGCAGCAAATTGTAACTTTTGGATGCACCCCAGAAGAGAAGAGATGCTATTATTTAGGGCTGCAGCTATCGAATATTTTTGTAATCGAGTACTCTATCGAATCTTTTATCGATTTCCCTTTCGAAAATAAGCGCGTTCTTGGTATTAAAATGCATCTTCACGGACATCATATGTGAAATCCATGGCACATAACAAGCAGAATTAGAAAATGGCGTCTTTAGCACCGTTGGCTTGCATTCATTTTATTGTTCTTCTGGGGACCCGGGGTCCGGAAGTAGATGGGCGTGACTTAGGCTTCCTATGGAGCGCTGTCTGTCACCTATGATGGACTGTCACTATGGTAAAGCTATGGAATCTTGCATTACCATAGTTACAGCTCAGGTGCATCATTTAAAATTCTTTATTTTTTATGGGGCAGCAGTAGCTCAACAGGTTGAGCGGGTTGTCCAGTAATCGGAAGGTTACAGGTTCGGTCCCGGCTCCGGACAGAGAACTCTGCTGTTGTGTCCTTGGGCAAGACACTTAACCCACGTTGCCTGCTGGTGGTGGTCGGAGGAACCGGTGGCGCCTGTGCTCGGCAGCCTCGCCTCTGTCAGTGCGCCCTAGGGCAGCTGTGGCTACATTGTAGCTCATCGCCATCAGTGTGTGAATGATACACTGTAGTGTAAAGCGCTTTGGAGTCCTTACTCTGAGAGGCGCTATACAAGTGCGGGTCATTTATCAGTTATTATTAGCCTTTCAGACTTCAGTAAAGGTTCCATCTCGAGTGAGTAGGACCTTGTCTCTGCGGTCTCTGTGTTTGCTGACTTTAGTCTTCCAGAGAGCAGCTCTAGCAGGTAATAAAACTACCCACAAACAACCCAGCCCAACATCTGACATGTTTAAACTTTCAGGTTTATCTGAAGTGTTTCCTGTGCTTTACTGGGAGACTTTAACATCCCTCAAGGTAAACTGGTTTTATCATTTATATAAAATACACCTGCTGGAAAAAAACAAAATAAACAACAACCCCTTAAGCAGGTCAAATTACAGATAAACAGTCAAGATAAAAGTCATTTGAATCTGAAATGTGAGTTATAAACGTACATTTCTATAACTAGACCTACATGCTGTCTGCCGTGTACAGTAGCGGTGTCTGGAGAAGGGACTGATCTTTATTTCTGCACCAGTTTGACAGAAATATAAATAAATGCCACTTTTTCATCAGTGAATAAGTTATAACTTTAATAACATTAAGTGAACAAACTATTTTAACTTGTTTACATTTAAAAAATGGATCCATCAGCTAATAGAAGAGTCATTTGGCTTGATTTAGCAAACAGAAAAGTGAAGAGGCTCAACTGCAGTTATCTTTATGTACGATTTTAACTTCTACGTAACTTTTTGTTTTTGTCACATTGCTCTTTGATTAAACAATACCAGGAAAACTGAAATCTCTGTTTATATTTAAAACCTTTACTGCTATATGAGCATCAAGACCAAAGAGAAATTTCTTTGATGTCAAACGGTTTATTTGTCTGAAGAGGATTGTATCATCTTCTTTAAGTTCTGATATCTTTTTATTAAATATATTTCTACGTCATCAAACATCTGGTCTGTCATCCGATCATTATTATGCATAAGAGGTACACCTGATGATGGCTCCTTTTATGTTAAATCGCGTTTAGAGGGACAGGATGACAGAATTTAAAATGCAAACAAAAAATAAATCTTTTAAAAAGTAATGAAGTTATTGAATATAATATAACATGTAAAGCTTTCTTTATTTGTACTTTACTTATTGTCTTCAGGTCTACTTTTTACTTTTACTTCACTCATTTTTAAAGCCACTAGCTGTACTTCCTACTTCACTACAATAAGGAGCCAAGGTCTCCTCTCTTCCCGGCCGGCTCACGAGTCCCCGGAAGAACTTAAACATGAATGCAAGTCAACGGGGCTAAAAACGCTATTTTCTAATCCGCTTTGCCTTACGTCCTGGATCACACATATGTTGTACTTCAATTTAAATGTAATCCAACGATGGGTGTTTCAATCACGCCAGTCACGTATTTTGAAATTTATCAGCTTGTAAAAGTTCGATGTTAGCATGACTACAAATCCGACATCGGCACGTTGCATATTCAAATTCAATTCAATTCAAAAATACTTTATTAATCCCAGAGGGAAATTGATTGCTGTAGTAGCTCAGAATAATAATAGTAATCAAGTCATCAAAGAGTTATTGTATATTACAATGGCTGTTGGCATGAAGGATCTCCAGTAGCGGTCAGTGTTGCAGCCAGACTGAAGAAGCCTCTGACTGAAGACACTCTTCTGTTGTCGGACAGTCTTGTGAAGAGAATGCTCAGGGTTGTCCATCATTTTCTTGCTTCTCTGGAGAATCCTTCTTTGCATTATGTCCTCCAGCGGTTCCGAAACTGCCGAAACTCTGGCAGAGTCCTTGAAAGGGCTTGGAGTTCCTCCATCTTGTTGGCCAGTGATCTCACATTGCCCATTATGATCGATGGAAGAGATGGTTTGAATTTCCTCTTTCTCTGTCGCTGTTTTGCTCCCGCTCTGCACCCACGCTTCTTGCTTTTTAGCTCATTTGGGATTTGTGGCTTCAGTTGAGGTATTATTTCAGCCTTTCCAATGTTAATCAGCTGCTCCCGATTGTAAACCAGCTTGTTGCCATGGTTACGCATCATAACAAATGCTCAAAAAGTGAAAAAATAGCAGTAAAAATCCGCCAAGCTTCACAACACCAAAAACAGAAAAGTGTCCAAAAAATACAGTTTTTCTTGAGAAACTAGAAGAAAAAATGCCCAAGAAAAGGCAAAACGTGCATATCGTCAACAGAGCTACTCCAACATGCAGCCGCCCAGAGCAGCACAGTTCCGGGAATATGACGTCGCCACAGAATCTCTGCCATTTTTCCTGTTTTTCTCCGTGTCTGCTTCGATGATGTCACTTTCATAAAGCGCATTTGTAGTCCTGGACTTATTACGCAAAACTTAAAATGACGTCTCCCCCCTTTCGAAAATAAGCGCGTTCTTGGTATTAAAATGCATCTTCACGGACATCATATGTGAAATCCATGGCACATAACTAGCAGAATTAGAAAATAGCGTCTTTAGCACCGTTGACTTGCATTCATTTTATTGTTCTTCTGGGAACCCGTGGTCCGGAAGTAGATGGGCGTGACTCAGGTTCCCTATGGAGCGCTGTCTGTCACCTACGATAGACTGTCACTATGGTAAAGCTATGGAATCTTGCGTTACCATAGTTACAGCTCAGGTGCATTGTTTAAAATTCTTTATTATTAAGGCTAGAACCTTTCAGACTTCAGTTCCATCTCGAGTGAGTAGGACCTTGTCTCTGCGGTCTCTGTGTTTGCTGACTTTAGTCTTCCAGAGAGCAGCTCTAGCAGGTAATAAAACTACCCACAAACAACCCAGCCCAACATCTGACATGTTTAGACTTTCAGGTTTATCTGAAGTGTTTCCTGTGCTTTACTGGGAGACTTTAACATCCCTCAAGGTAAACTGGTTTTATCGTTTATATAGAATACACCTGCTGGAAAAAACTAAATAAACAACAACCCCTTAAGCAGGTCAGATTACAGATAAACAGTCAAGATAAAAGTCATTTGAATCTGAAATATGAGTTATAAACGTACATTTCTATAACTAGACTAGGGCTGCAGCTATCGAATATTTTTGTAATCGAGTACTCTATCGAATCTTTTATCGATTAATCGAGTACTCTAATAAATGACCCTTTTGTGTTTGTAAACCATTATATCAAATAGCATTTATAAAATATGAAAGACCTCTTAAAATGAACAAGTATTTGCCAAATATTCTTCAAGTTTTATTCAAAATTAGTTTTCAAAACTTCAGCACTTCAACTTTACTTCACAGCAAACAAATGCCTGTGCAAAAAATAAGTTTACAACCCTGAGAGTCTACTAGCCTGCTAGCCAGACGAAAACTAGGAGGATAGCTGTTGAAGTGGCACAGCGAGCGGCTGCGGCCCAAACAGAACCAGAACCGTTCACGGTGCATGCGTCAATATGGCTCGCCAGCTATTTCCCTATTAACACACGTCCGTTTTAATTTCTACACTTTTTTTCTCACACAATAACAAGGATTGCCGAGAAAGCATGTTTGCCGTGGTTATGTCAAGTTATACTGATCACAAAACATGTATTTACTTTCTGTCGTTTTCCTCATAAACACCTGCGTCCTCCTGCAGCAACTCCGAGGGACAACAGACGTCAATAACAACACAATAAAAAGTCTGACGTGTTGTAAAAACTGCTATTTTTAGCACATTTTTAGGTCCGACGTGTTGCTACCAGACGACAGTGTGAGCTGAAACTGAGTGCTACAAACGAAAAAGTCTCAGTGTCCGCAGAATATGTAGCGGACCTCTGAGTCCGCTTGCAGAAGGGTCATTTACATGTGGATGTTTCCTGGTCAGGTGCTGCAGCATGGAGGATGTGGTGTTGTGGTAGGCTAAATCCATTTTACAGTGTTTACACTGAACTACGTTTTCC